CAATGCCTGTCACATCATTGGTACGAGACCCCCATCTTTCTCCCTTACCCATTGTCTATTCCCCTTTTTAATCTTTAATTATGAAAACGTCCTCCAACAAGTCTGAAAGTCTTAACATACCTTGAATGCCGAACACGTGCCACAAATCCTCAAGATTTTTCCTTCCCCTTTCGCAAAGCTTCAGAACGTTTCCAATCTACCAATTATGAAATATTTGTAAGCATGCGAGTTCTTAAAAACTCATATTATGATATGTCTATCCTAAACCTAAAACTCACTCATATCTCTTATCAAGCTCCTAATTATTACCTAAAGATTCCCCCTCCATCCTAATAATTCCAGAAAAGGCACAACGTTGCAGCCTTTCAATTTTCCAATTTGGAACCATCTTTTAATTCCTAATACCAATCTAATTGCTAACAATATAATACTAATAATTAACCAACACAGACTTTGACCCATTACTTCTTATCACGCCATCCTCATTTAGTCTATAATTAATATAAATTGCTAATAACGCTATTAAATTATAATATGCCAAGAATCATATTTGCTAAAATTCAAGCTTAGTGTTAAGCCTCAATCCCTCCAAGTATCTCAAATCCAATGCTAATCATATAATATACATCTAATAATTTATTACTTATCTCAATATATTAAAACTAGATTTACCATACGACAAATAATTAATAACAATTGAATTTAACCACTGGTTACAAAACCAGTGGCGACCCACCCTCAGAAACAAAAGGGTTTCGCCCTCCATTAATGCACCTCAATATGACCCCCAAATGTTTTCCCTGAACCTCATTAATTACAACAATTATACTACTAATATTAACAATGAACAACAGGTCCCAATCACGAAGAAGACAAACAGAATTAATTCCTACCACTATATTCCAATTAACTAACATCTATCCCTACCACTTTTGCACCATACTATCCCACTAAATCTTAAGAAAAACATAATATCTTTATTATAAAAATTCAATAACACAATTTGGTTGAAAGTTTCACCTGAATACACGATTCACGAGTACTCTTCTGCCCACGCCGCCGGTACTCGTTTATATTTTATTTTTTCTCCAGTTATGATACAATACCCGTTAATCCCTCTAACTTAATTAAATACATGGCAAAGTGGTAACTATTTATTATGAATGTGACCCACTAACTATTCAACTATAATACTCATTTAACAAAAATTCATCAACTAGATACTCATAGTTATCGCATAGTTTAAAACGCTCCTTTAAATTTTACGAAAAGAGTCAGAATAGTCCTAGTTCTCAAAACGACCTAGCGGATCGTTACATTTTAAGAAGCAGATTTTTTTTGCTTTTTCCCAACCGCCGATATACTGTATCTGCTTCTATTTTAAAACAATTTTACTGTTAGTCAAACACATTTTTTTTCCAAACTAAGTACTTTTTACTCAAAATAAATAATTTTGACATTTCAACAATAATGTCAGACTCCATATCTTTGTTGTTTCACATAGTGCATAACCTGGCGCATATTTGATAATTATAATGTCATAAATAAGGAATTTGATACATTAATTAAAATTTCAAAATATCTCCACGTTCTATTAAACCACTGAAGAATTTAGCAAAAGAAAAAGAAAAGAACAAAATGAGGTTATTTAATATTTATCCAATTTGTTCGTCGAGTTAGACGAGCATAAGTGTTGCCAAGTTTTGAATATCCAACGAACAAGTTATAAGAGAGTTATAAACTTCATATTATAGAATTTTTTTAATTATTATTTTAAGAGAGATATCGAAAATTCTTTTAAATTTTGCATGAATTATTAGTTTCATCTCTGAATTATTGATAACTTTTAAAACATTTATTTATTTAACTAATTGAATTTAAATATACCCCTGATCTTGTAACATGAGTGAAATACACCCCCTAAATTCTCACCAAGATTAGGAGTGTTTTCAACACTTTTCTCAATTTTTATTAAAAGTTTCATGCTCTTACGAGAATTTGATACCACTTGTTATGTCATGTGACAGATTGAGGTGTATTAGGCGTGTATCTAAGTTTAGTTAGTTAAGTAGATGAGTGTTTATTAGGCGATCAATAGATCAGGAACGAAACTAATAATTTGCGTCAATTTCAAAAGTGTTTTCAATACTTCTCTCTTATTTCAATTATAATTAGAACCTTGATTTAAAATTAAATCTCAAAATTTTAGGGGTCATTCGGCATAGGGTATAAAATAAATAAAGTTATGGTGGATAAATAGCCTTGAAATTAAATTATATTTCTAATTAAATGTAAAATAAAATATTTCAAAAAATTATCATCTCTTATCGCACATTCCAAAAACCTCCTAATTCTTAATTATAATAATAATAACTTGTCTCTCTCATCAAAACAGAAACCAAGAGTTGAAGCTAAACAAACATAAAAATTAAGTTGAAGTGTGTTTGTACAAATTTGAGAAAACTTGAAAAGCTCTTAAAATTATTTTTACAAAATCAGTATTTTCGAATTTTAAATTGAAATAAATAATCAATATAATGAATATCACGAGTCTTTTAAAAATGATTTTCTTTCTCTACAAGGTAAGTTTAAGATATGCGTACACTTTAGTCTCTGGAGATTTCATATGTTGAATTATACTACTAGATATGTTATTATTGTTGTTGAGTCAATATACTTTCTTCGTTTTAAGTTATTTTTCCTACTATAATGAATATCAAGAGTCTTTTAAAAATAATTTTCAATCTCTACGAGGTAAGTGTAAGATCTGCGTACATTTTAGTCTCTGGAGGTCCCATATGTTGAATTATACAACTGGATATGTTATTATTGTTGTTGAGTCAATATACTTTCTTCGTTTTAAGTTATTTTTCCTGCTTTTTATTCATTTAAAAAATATCTCTTTTTTAAGTAACACTTTAATTTCAACATTTTCACGACATATTTAAGATAACAAGATTTAATGACACTTAAATATTAGTATTTCAAAACATATTCCTTCCTTCGTCCACTTTTAATTGTTATAGTTTCTCTTTTTAGAATGAAACTATAAGAATTTTAACTAATATTTTATGACGTATTTTTTCATTATATTGATATGTAAAAAATTGCAATTTGTATAACATTTTTTAATACAATTTTTAAATATCTAAATTTTTTATTTAATATATCAAATTAACGTAATGTAATTTAATTTAATCTTAAAAATCAGTCAAATTATCAAAAACGCAAATGAAAGGAAAAGACGGTACGACAGATTTCAGTCCAGCAGGAGACGCAGTAATTATCCCTGATTTAGCACATTTTACGATAATCTTTTTATTCCTTTTGGGATAATACAGATCTTTTTATAAATATAACTTTACATTGTGAAGATTTTGAATTTATATTTCTGATTTTCTTTATAACAGCTGTTTATTATATTAAAATATAATTTATTTAGTTATTATAATATATCATACATCAATAATAAGAAAAATAAGCCTATAATATTACGATGAATAAAATATAATTATTATTAATTTATGCGATACCTCTCTTTAATCCGTTTAAAAATTGTCATATTTCTATCATTAAATAAAAATTTAATCTTAATTTTTTTCATATATTTAAAGCATCGTAATCTCATTTTTCTCATATTGTCCATCACGGAGGACTAGATCACTTCCAACCCGTCCTACATATTTTCATTATTAATCTTATCTCTAATATTACAAATATTTTTTTTGTTCATTTAATTTGAAAATTTCTAGGTTAGACTTGAAGATAAATTGTTTTGGTTATAATTTTTACGAATAATATTTAGTTGTTTAAATATGTTTTTCCTAAAAATACATAATATATAATTTAAATATGATTGTTTTTATAAAAGTAAAATTTTTCACCGAGTTTAGAAGGCTGTGATTGGTCCAAAGGGCGGGTCACAGACGGATTTCTCGGTTATCAAAAAAAAAATAAAAAAAAATTAGTAAAAATGTAATTTTAGATGTTTTTAAAATTCTAAATATTATATTTAATTTTTCATAGCCAAATACTCTCTTAGTCCCAATTTATATGACCAACTTTTATTTTTAATCAATTTCAAATAAAATGACAGATTTCTATATTTAGGAACATTTTAACTTAAAAAATCTGTTTTTGCCCAGAAGAATTCATAGCTATCCAAACATTTAACTTATTTTAGACTACAATTTTTTCTTTAAACTCTATTTTGTTTCAAATCCAACCACATCATATCAAATGAGAGGGAGGGAATAATAATTTCCAAATAAAATGATTCTTTCCTAAAAAAGTGAAAAAATCTCTCGTGTCCTACGAATCCCAGTAATGAGAAATAGAACGCCTCCGTTATGGATAGGTGTAAATATGGTATGATATATATCGAAATTTTATATTATATCAAATTTTTGATATTATAATTTTAGCATTATGGTATTTGGTATGATATGTGATATATATTTTAAATTTTCTTGATATTTGATATTTGATATTTAGAAGTGACATACCAAAATACGAATATGATACCAAAGTATATAATTACATATACATATATATATATATATATATATATATATTTAAATACAAATAAATACACAGCCTATTAGTATAAATAAAATGTTTAGAAGTTCAAGCCGCGACTATTCTATTTTGATTGAAATATATTTTAAATGTAATTGATTAACAAAATGAATTGTTTGTACTTTCTTTTGAATATATATTTCTACATAGATAATGTGTTAGTATAGTATGAGTCTTTTTTTGAATTGTCGAAGTCATAATACTCTATTATACGAGTATATATTAATGAAAGTTGAATAAATTGTCATTACCAATTTATCATATCACAAACTATTAAAACCAAATTAATATACCAAATTAAATTAATATGATACTAGTATAATAATTTTAAAAACCAAATATCAAAATTCCGATACCAAAATTTCAAATACGGTACCATATTATCGATGTTACCCCAGCTACTGTAGCTTTCTCTGCTCACATTAAAAGTAAAGCTTTTGCTACTCTCTAAAATAAAGCAGAAAGTCTGTGAGCAACTTTCTTGTTTGAGATACAAAAAAATGGTAGCAAGAAGGTTGTCAATAGCCGCAAAGGAAAGATGGAGGAAGAGAAAAGCCGACATGGAAGTAACCCACAATGAGGTATCTATTTTCTGCCCTTGTTTTTACGCAACAATTTTCCTAACTTTCCACAGTTCATCGTTTCCCTTAGTATTTTGTGCATTTGAAGGAAGAGCAGTATATTCAAAGGGAATCTTTAGCATCCCAGAATGAGGTATGATCATCAGGGAAATGACCTAAATGTGTTTTAATTTGCTGACCAATAAAGATTGTTGATAATGCCGATGTACTCTGTTTTTTGCGTGGTTATGGAGAAAAGATGAGTTTTTTTTTTCGGGTGAAGATGGCGTGTGTGTAGGCAATATGTATCCATTTGAAATGCAGAGGCGGAAATCGGATTTTCACTAGGGTATTCAAAAAATAGAGAAGTAAACAATATAAAGTTCAATATCTTCTGGATATACGTAACAGTGTATATATAGTGTAATTTCTTTTCCAATTTGGATTTTTTATGCTCCTAAGCTGCCTCTGTTTTTGCTAGTTACCTGTAATGCCTCGTTTTCATTTTACTTTTTGTGGAAGCCAGCGGTTGGGGTGGGGTTAATTATTTATATTTTTACCCACCCAAATGGATCCTCAAACTAGTAGTTGAAGTTGGAGGTTGATTAGCTACATTTTCACTCATCCCATTTTCTGTGTTTGGTTACTTGGTTCTTGCTTTGTAGTTTGTATAGTGATTATCTTATGGTAACTTTGTGCAAAGAATAGCTCTTCTAATTTGTATGTTTTTACTTTTTACTTTTAGCCTTGATAGGAAACAGTTCTGTTGATGATTTACAATTGGTACTAATGTGCAAAAAAATGTTATTATCCTGGTTATACTGTTTTTTTGGATGTTGTTTGTTGACAATTGCACAAATTTCAATGAGGATTGCACTTCAGTTATTGATTAAATTTGTAAACTATTTTGCATTCATCTTTCATTTCTGAATGACCAATTTGCCTTATTCCTTGATGTGCTTGCTAATATGGCTACTTCTTTTGATACTTACACTGTGATATAGTAGTTATTAATTGGCCTTGCATGTCAAACCTATTCCTAAATGCTCCTTCTTAAAGGGATGGCAAAGATTTATATATTTGCTTATTTGTTTTCTACTTTGGACAAGCTGTACTATAGAAATACATTATACCTCAAGAGTGATTGAATGTCTCGTTCACGATCACAGGTGGCTGAGGGTCCAAGTCACTCTTCATTGACAACTGATAACGTGCAAAGTAAGGATTCTCAATCTGCAGCTTTTACCTCAAAGAGGAAAGTAACAAAGGGCAATAACATGATTGTTAGGCGATCCAATCGACTTAGAAGCTTAGGGTTCTTCGGGAAAAGACGAGGGAAGGAACCTGTTCAGCATATCGATCTTACCGACTGTGATGGAGATGAGGAGCTGCATGTTGAGCCAATCAGTCTTGAACCAATCAGGGGTGTGAGTAGCTCGGAAATTGAAGTTGACTGTCCGGTCCACACTGTAAGGATGTCTCTTGTTTTTGATGTCCGTTTACTTTTATATCTTGCTATGCCTGAAACTTTTCTTAAATGCTCCTTCTCTAAGCCCGATCAAAGATTTATTTATTTGCTTATTCATTTCACTCAATGGAAAAGCTGGACTATAGAAGTACATGATACTTCCTGTCCCTTGAGTTGACTGATTGCAATGTCTCAATATTAATCAGCAGGCTGATGGTCCAACAAACTCTGCATTGACTAATGCGCAAAGTAAACATTCTCAAGCAATTTCCTCAAAGAGGAAAACATTAAAGGCCAATGGCATGATTGTTAGACAACCTGGTCAGCTTAAAAGTATAGGGTCATTTGGGAAAAGACAGGGGAGGGAAGGTATTCATCACGTCGATCCTACTGACTGTGATAGAGACACAGAGCTGCATGTAGAGCCAATTTGTCCTGAACCGATCAGGAATGTGAGTAGCTCAGAAATGATAGTTGACCATTTGGTCCAGACTGTGAGTGTATCTTGTGTTGTCATTTTACTTGCTTTTCTTCTTTAATCTTGCTATGCCTGAAGCTTGTAGCTTTAATTACTTAACAGAGATGCAAAAGGCCCTTTGCAAGTGAAGCTACGCCAACAAACCTCAACTACAAAATTCTGTATACTGCCTCGGTGAAAAAGGTAGTCTGTTTGTCTCGATTCATTTTATGGTAAAATTTTCAAATCTGATCAGGATGATATTTATCGCTATCTAGATCGAGGCCCTGACGGAGGAAAACTATCAACAAGCCCAGAAATTACACTACATGTCTGGAAAAGTCAAGATAGTAAGTGATATTCCTTATACTGGATGTATTCTGATTTATCACCTTGTGGATGCTACTTCTTGTTCCTGGTATGAAATCACCATCTGCTCGCTAATGTCCTTAGCTTTTCTTGGTGAGGTATATACTTGAATTGTGTGGAAGAAGGATTTGAATGTATCCAATTTTTTGGAGATACTCACCGAATAAACATTTACCAAGAGCAGAACTGATAAGAGGCAACATAGATCCATTTTGATATTTGAACATTTATTAACATGCTTTCTCAAGCTTGGCCTCATCACCGACTTTGCTATTGTGTTTTCTATTTCTCTATTGAATTATCGTGGTCCTCAGATAGTGGCTAATGTTTTAAAGACAGTGTGATCTTTCAAAACCTTTGTCAGCTTGTTTTTACAAAATATGAAGTTAAAGTACTTCTACAGTACCGAAGATCAGCCTTGTTGACTGGTGATGGGCAGGATGCCATTACTATATGGGATGTGTGATGTGACTCGTCATTTTCCTTTCGTGGCATGATATATGACTTGTTGATAATTGGATAATTTATTTTTAAATTTATGAAAATTGAAACCATTGACAATTGTCGACTTGGAATTATCCACCTAAAGACTGCTATATTCAAACCATATAAATTATTTATAGTTTTTAAACCCTTTGTTACAATTTAGACGTCTTGGATCTTGATGTATCAGTAGCCTTAGTTTCTAGTAAGTCTAGTAGAAAAGGTCCCTCAAGGTGTGAGATCAAAGATTTAACATGTATCATTGAGAGTTGTCACATGTCTTATACAAGGTCAGGCTCCGATGGACTGACATCTTGTTGCCATGCCTAATCGTACTCAAGACTTTACCTTTATTTGGTTGATTATGGTGATCCATCATCTCAAATTCTTGGATAAATACTCAAAACTCCCAAGACATATGAGTGTAAAACTTTAAGGCCTAGTTTCACACTTATATATTTGTAGATGAAGTTTGTTTCAAAATTCTCACTGTTGTACAAAGTTTCCTTGACATTCCCCACGTTTAATTGTTAAGCCTTTTTTCCTTTGGCAAGATGTAACGACTAATAATCTTGTTTTGCAGTATGAGAATGTGATTGGCAAGGATGTGGTTGCTTTTTCAAATGGGTGGAGACCAACTGGTGCCGTGACGAACTTATCTGATGGAACAGTCAAACATCATCCAGAGGCTCCTGCTCAAAACTCTGCCCGTGCACCTAAACCGCCTCCTGTAAAGAGAAAGTACAGCGTTAAGAGGATGAAGAAAAACTAGTAGGAAGTGTGCTCATCCTTGTTGAAGGAGTTTGCGTTTGTTTATGCCTTCAACAGATCCTAAGCTATATATATCTTTTGCTCTGTGGTTTTAGTAAAATGTTATGTCTGGTGAAACTCTCTTGTTTTTGCCCCATGTTTTGCCCTGAGTTCACCTGCATCTTGGATGTATGTAAATATATGCAAGCTAACTTGGAAGATCTCTGCTTTGTCCTCTTTCCAGAAAATGTTATTACTACTATTTACTAGTGACACTGGAACCAGATGAAATTAAGTTTTGTGTGCATACCCTTTTTCTTCCATTGATGATGTGTTTCATCTTTTTTTTTTTGCAAAATGGTGAAGCCTGCTAGATTAGTGCCCTTTCTACTTTAGGGGAGGAGACTCATATTTTACGGGTTTGAACGAGACCTGTAGGTTTGGTCGAAACTTTGTATTTATCTTAAGATGTCCGTAAGTCTTAAATACTTACTTTGCCTCAGCTTCTACTACTAATATAAAAACAACTTGCTACATTATACATAAATTTTCATTTTGGCACTCCAACTCAACCTTGTTCCATTTTAACCTTTCAACTTCATTTTTTATGTTCCATTTAGACACTTCGTTTCAAAGAATCAACAAAGTGGATGTGTGTACTATTAGAAAACTGGAAAGAAATCAAGATAAACACAAAAGAGTTAGGGAGGTAGTAAACTTCTCACTAAACTGAAACAATGAACAACCTTTATAAAGGCAATACACATCCTACATTATCTCAACCACTAAGCCATAAAAGAAATTAAAACTGACCTACTAAGTCATGTGTTTCCAGTAACTTGGAAATAGCAACCATATACCCTTAAAACTAGGAAAGAAGAAACTTAATTAATTAAAATATCTAACAAACCCTCCCTTAAACTCATAAGTCTACGACTTCAGCTTAATAACATCATTCACCATAGCTTTCCCTTAAAGTGCAAACTCCAAGTAGCTTCCTTAACTTTCTGAATGTTGCCAGCTTGAGGGACTTAGTGAAGATAACAATAGCTTGGTCTTCACTTCTATAGTATACAACATCAATAACTTTCTCCTTCGTGAGATCTCTCAGGAAGTGAAACTTAACATCTATGTGTTTGCTCCGTCCATGCAACACTGAATTCTTTGAAAGCTTAATCGCTGAGCCATTGTCGCAGTAAATCAGAATTGGTTCTTGCTGTCGAACATGAAGCTCAGCCAATATCTTCTTCAACCAAATTGCTTGGGTAGCGCACACAGTTGCAGCTACAAACTCTGCTTCTGTAGTGGACAATGTAACAATTGGTTGCTTCTTGAAGCACCAAGAAACAGCTCCAGATCCAAGCATAAACACATAACCTGAAGTGTTTTTCCTGTCTTCTTTATCTCCAGTAAAATCACTATCTGTAAAGCCAATTAACTCTGACTTGCCTTCTTTCTTGTATAGAATACTATAGTCAATGGTACTTTGCAAATACCTGAGAATTCTTTTAGCAGCCAACAAATGAATCTATTTTGGGTGCTCCATGTATCTGCTAACAAGACTAACAGAATACGTTATGTCAGGCCTGGTGACTGTTAGATACATCAGACATCCCACAAGTTGCTTGAAAAGAGTGTTGTTAATCTTCTTTCCTATAGGATTCTTTTCCAACTTCAGTTCCAACTCTGTTGGTGTTGTGACAGAATTGCAATTCTGCATTCCAAACCTCTGTAATGTTTCCTGGACATATTTCTTTTGTGAAATAAATATTTCACTAGTTGATTGCTTTACTTCAATGCCCAGAAAATAATGCATCAAACCAAGATCAGACATATCAAACTTAGTCATCATAGATAGCTTAAATTTTTCAAGAAATACAGGATCACTCCCAGTATAAATCAAATCGTCTACATATAAGCATACAATAACAAGTTTCACATCTTCAAGTTTTGTATAAAGTGTATGCTCGTATGGACATTTTCTAAAATTTTCCAGATTAAAATATGCATCAATGCGACTATACCAAGCTTGGGGAGCTTGTTTTAGGCTATATAAAGCCTTTTTCAATCTATAAACTTTATGCTTACTTTCATGCATCACACAACCAGGAGGTTGATCAACATATACCTGCTCTTGCAACTCTCCGTGCAGAAAGGCTGATTTTACATAAATTTGATAAATCGGTCAATTATTTTGAGCTGCCAATGCCAACATCAATCGAATGGTATCAAGTTTGACTACCGGAGAAAAACCTCCATGTAATCCACACCATACTCTTGCTTGTATCCTTTCACAACCAAGCGCGCTTTGTACTTATCAACTTCACCAGACTCATTGAGTTTGGTTTTATAAATCCACGTAACTCCAATCAACATTTGGCTTTTAGGAAGATCAGTAAGCTCCCAAGTATTATTCTTTTCAATTGCGGCAATCTCAACATCCATTGCTTTCTGCCACTTTACATCTCTATAGGCATCCTCAAATCTTACGGGATCACAACCAGAAAATAAAGCTAAATATGTAGATGAATCTTTATTTCCAGATTGAACATTTCCACTCACCTCATAATCTGCCATCCATGTTGGCCTTCTTCGTTTCGTTGAGGTCGAAAGCTGGTGTCTTCTTGATGTACCAAGGTAGAAGCACCTTCATCGGCTACTGGTTGCTCTTGCTCCTTATCTCCATCGTCAAGATCCAAAGAAAGTTGTTAGTTGTTTGGCTTTTCTTTCCACGACCAAAAATTATCTTCATCAAACACCACATCACGATTGATAATCACCATTTTACTGATAGGATTGTACAACTTGTTAGCTTTTGACTCCCTGCTAACACCCATAAAAACACACTTATTGGCTTTGTCATCAAGCTTTGTCTTTTTCTGATACGAAACATGAGTAAATGCAATGCACCCAAACACTCTCAAGTGTTGAACAACTAGTTGTTGTCCACTCCAAGCTTCTTCTGGTGTCATGTTCTGAATAGCACAAGAAAGACTTCTATTCAAAACATAGACGCTCCAGCAAACTGCTTCAGGCCAAAAAACTTTTGGAACATAGCTCTTTTGTAAAAGGCTCCGCACAACATTCATAATTGTCCGATTCTTTCTCTCACATACTCTATTTTGTTGAGGAGTATAAGTTGTTGTAAGTTGCCGTTGTATCCCATGAAACTCACAAAAACTTATAAATCCTTGTGAAAGATACTCCCCTCCACGATCAGTACGAAGAATCTTTATGGAACATCCCGTCTCCTTCTCAACAAGAGCTTTGAAGCTTTTGAAACTGGTAAAAGCTTCAGATTTTTCTTGCAGAAAATAAACCCATGTCTTTCGGCTAAAATCATCAATAAACGTTATAAAGTAACGTTTTCCTCCATTGGATATTGGGTTTATTGGTCCACAAATATCTGAGTGAACCAACTCTAGCTGCCTTTTAGCTCTCCATGCTTTTCCTTTTGGAAAGCTATTGCGAGATTGCTTTCCAATGACACAATCTTCACAAATATCTACAGGAATATCAAACTTAGGAAGACCCATAACCATCTTCTTTTGCTGCAACATTTTCAGTCCTCCAAAATTCAAATGCCCATATCTGTAGTGCCAAAGCCATGCTTGACTGTTCAACTTTGTTGAAAAACAAAAATTGGTAGAGCCAATATTATGCATATCAAGTGGGAAAAGCTTATTTGCAGTCATCTTAGCTTCAACGGTCAATCCAAGATTAGAATCTCGGATTTTGCAAATTCCATGCTTGATAGACACCTCGTAGCCGTTCTCTTGAAGTTGACCCACACTGATAAGATTTGTTTTCAGGTCTGGTGCAAAGAAAACATCAGAGATAATCTGCATAGAAGAAGACTTTGTTTGGAGTTTCACCTTCCCTTTCCCTTTGACAGCAATACGGGAATCATCCCCAAACTTGACTGTTATGCGAAAAGTTTGATCTAGTTCAGAAAATGCAGATTTTTCTCCAGACAAATGGTTGCTACAGCCCGTGTCTAAATACCATAAACTTTTGTGGTATTCTTCTGAGGATTGGCTCACCATTAACAAAGAGACCTCCTCCTCCTCAGTTATTTCTACAAAATTAGAGTTCTTTCCACGTACATTTTTCAGATCTGTACGACATTCAGAACGGTAATGACCATACTTGTGACATCTATAACACTCGATATGAGACTTATCTACAAACCTTGCCTTCTCATTGGACGAGTGTCGTTGATCACGATCATGCTGACCATTCTTTTTTTTGATTTCCCTCTTCAGTTTTCTCAGAGTTTCTTCCCTTTCACTTGCTCCTTCTACGCCCAGAATCTTTGAAGGTTGTGGTTACTTGTAATTCTTGCTCTTCTACATCCTGTTGAACAATCTTCTGCTCATGAACCATCAAAGAATTTTGTAATTCATCAAGTGAAAGAGTATCCAGATCTTTTGACTCTTCAATTGAGCAGATAACAAAATTGAATTTTGGAAACATGGACCGCAAGATCTTCTCAACAATGGTGACGTCTTCAAGCCTCTCTCCATGAATCTGCATCTTGTTGGCAATTGTCATAGTGCGTGAGAAGTACACCGACACCGACTCTCACGGCTTGATACACAAGGTCTCAAACTCACCTTGTAGAGTTTGAAGTTGTGCTCGCTTTACCCTTGCATTTCCTTGGTACTTCTTCTTCATGGAGTCCCAAATTTGCTTTGACGTATCCTTGGAAAGAATTGTTTCCAATATTGAACGATCAATGGCTTGGAAAAGATAATTCTTCGCTTTCAAATCTTTCAACTTCAGTGCTTCAAGATCTGTCTGTTGAGCATTTGTTTGAATAACACCAGCCGCAGGTTCTTGGAATCCACCATCAATGACTGCCCAAAACTCTTTGGACCTCAAAAAGTTTTCCATCGACATGCTCCAATGGTCATAATGACCATCAAAGCGTGGAATAGCAGGTTGAACAAAACTCTCTAAAACCTCGCTCACTCACAATTAATGCACGTTCACCATCACTGACTCTTGATACCACTATTAGAAAACTGGAAAAAAATTAAGATAAACACCTAAGAGTTTGGGAGGTAGTAAACTTCTCACTAAACTGAAACAATGAACAACCTTTATAAAGGCAATACACATCCTACATTATCTCAACCACTAAGCCATAAAAGAAATTAAAACTGACCTACTAAGTTACACATTTTCAGTAACTTGGAAATAACAACCATATACCCTTAAAACTAGGAAAGAAGAAACTTACTTAAATAATTAAAATATCTAACATGTACTTCACACACCATGATATGACACAAAAGT